GTGTTTATTACCCCTTAATGTGTTAAATAGTGACAAAATGTACACTACAGTGCATGCCAATTTCTTTGTCTGTTTTGATGTTACTAAGAGCTCTTTTTTCTTTACACTACTATAGTGCACATTGTATCACAATTAAAGTTAAATTACACCAATAGTGGCAAAATAGACTGAAAAAACTGGTAATAACAGAAATGCGTTTTAAAATTTTTGGTTGGTACCTATCTACCTACACTGAGAGAAAAAATGTTGTAGAATCATTCAAAACGATAATAATTCAAAGGGATTCAAATATGTTTTGGCGTCATTGGTGTGTCCCATTAAACTAATAGGTGTATAACAATTGTATAATACATATCTTTTTGAAACAACGTTGAGAAAGGTAATGAAATAAATAGATTTCTTTTTGTATATATATTTTAAAGAGGGTAAACTTTAAAAGTGATTAAAAACATTGTAAAACTGTTGGTAAATGAATATAAAACTAAACATTTTTCTATTTGAATTAAATTTACCTGATTATTTAAATTAATATAATTTTATATGCTTTTCATGACATGATATTTCTCTGAGTGTACGCAGTGCATATCCGGAGATACCGCGTTGTGGAAGTGTAGCATTTTTGTTCAGTTACATTTTAATTACGGTGAATCCATAAGAGAACATTCTTATTTTTTGGTAAGTAGTATACTTTCTTTAAGTTTAATACTCAATAAATACCAATATGTTAAAAGGATGTCCATACCCGACCTATATTATATAATAATAGTAATAGTAATAATTTATTTTCAAGCGTAATGGTTGTTATATTAACCTATACCTACATTTTTATTAATATTATGAAAAATTTGTACACGTGTGGTAATTCCCCGACATACAGCCGCCTGACACCTCTCTACGAATGGGATCACCCATTTTTTATAACAGAAAAATGGATGGAATTCATTGCTTACAAGTTGACAGCCAGTAAAACATTGCATTGATCTAAAACTTTTACGTTTTAAGGAACCATTTTGCTTAAACCAGCCATACGAATCAAAAATAAAATAATATTTTAAAAGGCACCGATTTTGATAATTGTCATAGATTTTTGTTCCAAATAAATGTTTCTCTTTATTTACCTTTTCGTTTTATTCACTACCACCAATAGGTTTTACTCAAATAATAGTGTTAATTAACACTAGAATTTGGCACTAAAAGAGTAAAAGTACCTTTCTAAAATTATAACTTTTCCAAAGTAGTGTTAATTAAAACTGAGCAAAAGTGGGATTTTACCCAGGAAGTGTAGAAGTACACGATTTTAGGTAAATTAACACTTTTTAATATAGTGTAAAATTACTTTATCCTCAGTGCTATAGTGTTAAATCATACTTGCTTACTTGGGGAAAATTACACTACAAATTAACTCTAATTGTAGTGTTATAAAACAACACTATTTAGTGTGGACCTGTGTGAACTCTAATTAGTGTTGCTTAGAGTTGATTTTTTTACTGTGTAATACTCTGGCAAAATAATCAAAAAAACCTTTTGGGAGACAATTTAAAATATAGTAAAATTTGCTTAAAATGTCGATTTGATTATAGACTTCCAAAAATGTAGACGGTATTTTCAATGTACCTATCTTCCAAAACAATAATTGAATCTGATGTAATCATTTGTAAACCCATTGTATCCTTTGATTCCTACATCTGTTAATACCAAACCATACGGATCCCAAACACTGTCCTCCACTATCATCTACATAAAGTCCGTTAATCCAATAACTATAGTGCTATAGCACCTTCGGGCGCCCGACCAGACCCAAACAGCGAACACAGGTGATTTTGGATATTGTGCCTCGAAATCGTAATTGCATCGCCTGGAAAGCTCAAACATTGTTTGACTGGGACAGTATTGCGTTTCGGACCCCTTCTCAATAACCGAACGAGCATTACCTAATGCTAACACGACCTCACGCTGTGTAACACAGTCATTAACCATTGTACCACTGTTCCACGGCCTCTGCACTGCTCAGCTTTGCTGTGCTTTGCCCTTTTATCGGATATTATCGCTTAATATTGCTTGTATGCCAGCTTTGCTTTGTATTTCGGTCATGGTATCGATTTTTTGTTACCTTTTACAATTTATGTCAATTTCGGATATAAAGTTTATGGGTCATTTTCAAGAAACACCTGCTTAAATTGACTTTTGGTTGGATTTTTATAAATGTTTAGAGTTTTTTTCAGAAAAATGTGTTTAGCTAGCTTTATATATTTCCACTGTATTACCAATTTGAAATCCAAAATTTAATTCAATAAAAAAAGTTGTTTTAAAAATAATTTGTAAGAAAATGTACTTAGTTCACAAACTTTTGACTCCAATTTTTTATTTTATTTTTTATTAAAAAATGTATGCTTTTTTTCAAATATGTATGTTCGTTAAGTTACTTTTTAAAAGAAACCATTCCGATTCTTTGTTAAAAAAACAATACCATTAATATTTTCTTTTAGTCACTGTATTAGTGAATTAAACTTTAATTTATAAACACGTATTACCAAGTGATAGTGTATAAAAATCATTTTAAGTAAAAAATAAACATTGGTATCACAACGGACAGGGGTACACAAAGGACTTAATCAGGTAACGTAAAAAAGAAACTATATAGGGTGGTACGATTTTAGAGTAATGCATAAACAAAATCCCTTGTAGTGGTGCTCACTTGCAGAACAACAACTTAGATTTCTAAATTGTAGACACCCTTTTTCTTTGACTATAAGCTGGTGAAGGTCCCTTTAAAGGGACTAAATTTAGTACTTTTATATTGCGTGGAATTTTTCTTTGGATGTAATCTATATCATGAGTTGTAATTACAAATAATTTTAAATTGGTTAATCATAAACTACTTTTAATAAAAGCGACGGTAAATATCCACTTTGTTGTCGAAAAATTCTATTGCGTTACACTAAATTCCATTGCGTTACCATAAGGTAACATAGTGGACTCGGTAACGCAGTGGACAAAGTTTTGTAAAACCATATTTAAAAAATAATAATAAGACATTATAGTCATTAATTACTCTCAATGAGCTTTAGTGCCCTAAAATAAACATAAACATAAAAAATATTATTTTTTTTTTGAGTAACTTAGCGGACAAACAATTATTACATTCGCGTTACCCGCACCTGTTTCAACCGATATCTTCTTCCTGATTGAATAAATAAATTCAGCTGGGTAATGTGTACGTCCGAACATCATTTGTTGATCACGTGAGTACCAAAAAAGTTGCCATATATATGTTTTTTTTAATATTCTATCGGTAACGCGACGGACGTAACGCAACGGAAAAATTATCTGGGACATGAGTCAAATTTAAAAAAAGTAGTTTAAAATTAATTATTTTATATATAAATTGTTTACTTTATTAACTAAGGATGTTATGGATTGATATAAAGCAACACAAAGTTCTGGTTATTCAATATTAAAAAAAAATATGTAGGTATGTAAGTTTTATAAAACGCTAATGGGACATGCGAAAATGTGTGTTTCACAAGTTTCAAAATTAAAAAAAAATATTCTGAAATAACTAAACAAAAATTTTCTGAAAGAATTTACTAAGGGCTTGTTAGGCTTTCACTTGGTTTTTAAATTAATAAGATCCGATAATTTTTAACAAAGTTATTGGAATTCAAACTTACGGACAGCGGAAGGCGGGTGTTTTTTTGAAAACGACCCTTATAATACTGAAAGCATATTTTAATAAATAAGAAAATTGACATCGACAATAAATGAAACTGCAAAATTTTTGTAGGATTAGGGCCGTAAACAGAAACTTTGATTTATTTATATCAACTGATTTAGCATATCAGTGGATATATGTTTTTGCACGACATGGCAACGTAGTAATTTTCTTTAAAAACTGTTGTTTTATAAAATAAATTGGAAAACTATCTTTCAAAGTTTATATTTTCCATAAAAAAGTCGATTTCTATACATAGATATAATTAAAAAATAACATTTTTTTAAGATATAATTACTACCAAGTTAATTATATCAAATATCTTAAAAAAATAAAACCAAAATTGTGTTTAAAAAATATTTTTCTTATTTTTTAAATACTTTTGAAGAATTTTAAATTTTAGACCATGTTCAACTTATTTTTTCTTTTAAATTTTAAAGGGCTTAACAAGGTAAAGGGGACAATTTTTAGTATTCCTATATATAATTATAATTATAATATAATTAATTAATCTTTTACAAGAACACACACTTGAATAAAATTTCCACCAACTTCAACAAAATTTTTTTGTTCTTTTCAGAGGCTTTAAGCCGTAATTTTCGTTTTTCATACCTTTTAATGCAAATTTACCAGAACACATTGCAAACTGAGAACATAACCCAATTGTGTATGTTTTATGAGATATTTGTATAAAAATTACTTAGTAATCAAGGATATTCAAATTTAAAAAGTTATATAAGAATGTCAAGATCATCAGTTAAATTAAATGTAAGAACTGTTTAAACTTCTTTGGCTTCTCCTGAAGAATCTACATTATGTGACTTTACTGTTATTTTACCTTTGAGGTACAGATTTAGACATAAGTATTATAATATAAAAAATATTATCCGGTTGAAGACAAAATAGTACTAAACTGTACTACATAGTTTGTATAGACCTTATTCACCGTCAAACTAAAATTGTACTTGTTGCTATATTCAAGATAAGATAAGGGGCAATGAAAATCTTGGAAATGCAGGTGTCACCTAAACACCTGAAAAATTTATTACCAATATAAATACATTATCTATAAAAGTTTGTTTGGATAAGTACTTGTCAATGACAATCGATGATTTGATGACAAACAAATGATTAAAACTACGCTCTAATTACGTATCATCCACCTGAATTAATAAAAAGACGATTTATTTTCGTAATAGTTTTATTAAAATATCATACGAGTACCATCAAAACTAACAAAATATTAAATCAACAAAAACATAGCAGGTATGTATCACGAATACTGTTATTAAGGTTCCATAGGCGGATCTTCAGCGCAAAAATACGAATTCTGCATGGAATACAATCGGTCAATGGGGTTTAGCCCCGGTTGGGTTTGCGGTGGATTTTGATGGGCCACCGGTGGGTTCAAGAACAGATGGGCTTGTCCGGAATCCAGAACCGATGGAAAAGATATGCCCAGGTAGTTTTTGTCCCTTCTTTTGCCCACTTCTAGACCTAAAAGAATCAAAAATATAATAAACAATGGGGTGGTTAAATTTTTTCTGACCTATACTTTTTATGGTTTTATTCAAGGCGTTTTGTAATTTTAAACATTTCTGTGAAATCGGAATTTCAATTGAGTTAACCGTTTTCGAGATATTTACAAAAAAAAATCTCCTAATTACGTCACTAGGCTATTAACAACGTTGCCAGCTTTTTCTATGGTTGCCAGTGTGTTTAGTTTAAGATTCTTACGATAGATGGCGCCACGTTATAATATTTTAGTTTTAAAACCCCTTGATCTATAATTTTAGTTGAGAAGAAGAAGAAGAATTGATTTTTTGACGTTTCTTTTTTTCGGGTTATGATTTTTTTAATTTTAGATTATTGAAAATCAATGTTATTGTTATGTTATTTGTAATTGATATTAGATAAGTGATTTATTAATAACGGACTCCAAAGCAGAGGAATCTTGTGGAATGGTTGGTTACATTGAACATTGGAGCTTTTAAACAAATAAAGTAAGTACCTATAATTATAATCATATTTTGTCGTAAATGCATTTCATTAGTATAATGCCTAGTTCTTTATATTCTTTTAGATATATCTTGGACTCTAAAATATCAAACAGTAATATGATACCTCGTAATAAGGAAGATAGGTACTTAATGAATTTGGTGACCATCTTTCACTCAACTGACAGTGACAGTATTTGTACATAACATCTTCGGGTATTTTCTGGCATAACCGAATGAAATCATTAACAAGACAACTTGACAACAGGGTAATTTTCAACCAATAGAAATCTTAGAATGTTGGTCACATGGCGAGGTTTGTGACGTCATAAAAATTTATATTTTTTGTAAATATCTCGAAAACGGTAAACTCAATTGAAATTCTGATTTCACAGAAATGTTTAATATTACAAAACGCCTTGAATAAAACCATAAAAAGTATAGGTCAGAAAAAATTTAACTACCCCATTTGATATGACAACGTGGTATAATTTATAAGTAAAGTAAGAGTAAGTTAGAATATTATTAGGATAAAAGTGTTCGATTTAAATGAAAACAAATTCCATAGCAAGGCATTTATTGATTTTACAGGAATCTATTGCAGGGAAATAAAAGGGAATAATAAAAGGAATGCTTTGGAAAAAATCTGAAACGCGCCAGCAATTTGGTAGAGTATTAAAAAATATCGGGAACAAGTAGTGAAGAATTTTGCTTTAAATTCATAAACTTTTTAACCTGTGAATGCGTGGAGGGCCAAGTTGGCGCTGCTTTTGAAAAATGGATTGTCGTTTTCGATTTCTTCTTTTATGCTGATAAAATGGTGGTCTCTTGATGGTGTTTGTAAGGAGGCATCGTCTCCTGCTGTGGTATCAGTGTCGCTGCAGCTGTCGTTGAAGAAAGGAGTTGATCTGGGACCTAAGAAAAAAATCAAAATTCATCAGTTTAAGGTAAACAAATATTAGAAATATTCCGCAACACCGAAGCAAAATACAAAGTGCTTAAAATACTTTTACTGTAAAAAAACTGCTTCTATATCCGATTTAAACTGTTGCTAGTCCATTTTCAAGGGACACAGAAAAATTTGACGTTTGCCGCCGGTAATACAGATTCCCATTCTTACGGTAACTTTATTTTTGTAAAGATGTCGCTCTATACAAATATTTAATAATAATATGTAGGTATTTGTCATATAAAATAGTATAATAAAAAACTAATGTCATATAACGTCATTTTGTGTGACAAAACGTCTTATGACATGAGTTCTTTATGCTATTTTATCTATTTTGCAAAATAAAAAAAATAATTTTATACCTTAAATTTAATTTGGTCGAATTTTACTTTAGATAGTTGATCATTGGTTTGACAGTTAATGTCAAAATTGATTCGCCATGCCGTCCTTAATTTACTTATTTGCAATAAGCGGCTTTTAATGTTAAAAAAGAAAAAGGATTTTCTTTGGTGTTAAACAAAATTTATTGCCAGAAAAGTCTCGTAAGTACTAGAAAAATCATAAAAATATTATTTTATTTTATTATTTTATTATTTTTATTTTATTTTTATAAATTTTGGGTGGGATAAAGTATCTCATTACAGCACCGAAAGCGGTGTTATAATGAAGTCATTATGAACGCAAAATAGATAATAGTTATTTATGTATTAAGGGCATAATAAGGTTTTTATGGTCCGAGGCTAGAAAAGCGTCGTAGGACCATAAAAACCAGTTATGCCAGCAATGCATACAAAACTTTATGCACGATTAATATATTAATATTTTTAATATATTAATGTTTTTAAAGACGTTTACGTCAAAGAATTTTTGATATAATTGTCATATTATAATGTTGTTTATTTGTGTTTGTCCATTGTGTATAGTCCTTCGGAGGGGACTTTAAGCCGTCGGTCCGTTCCTACCCCTAACCCGCACAAGCCATTCAGTTGGCTTATGGGACATCTTAGTTTGGATGTAAGGGTGGAACTAAAAGAGCACTTTATAACTTTATAACTTTATCAGTCAGTTTTAAAGTTTAAAGATGAATGAAATTGAGGAAGCAGCTGAAAAGGCGAAAAATTGCGGCCTGCTGCCGGAAAAATCAAAATCTTTATACGAAAAAACTTACTTCGAATATATCAAATGGTGTAACATTGTTGTTTTTAATTTTTGACGTTTCATTATAGCCCGCTGGGTCATAATAACGCCCGCGGGCTATAAAAAGACGTTTACGTCAATGAATTTTTGTTATAATTGTCATATTATAATGTCATCGTGCATAAACTATATTACCTATGCAACTCGTTTATAAACTTTTCTAGACACTCATTTAATTAGGCGAGCTCGCTCGAGCTCGAGCTCACGATCGTGACTAAATTAAATGCGTGACTAAAATGGCGTTTATCAAACATATATTTATAAATATAGATTTTAAGTATTTTCATGATTTTGATAATTTTAATGATTTTCTAGGTTTTTGGAACTTTTATGATTTTTATACCTATACATATATGTATTTTAACAATTTTGATTAAATTGAGGATTTTATTGATATTTTACAGTTTTTTTAGGATTATCCAACTTGTTTTTTTTTTAGTTAGTTATCATGTAAATTATTTGTTTAGTCTAAAAACATTTGAAAAAATTCTGATGTCATTTAACCCTTCCTATGTGACATTTTAATAATAACATAAAAATCCTAACTCTCTAAACTTTTTTTTAGAAGAGTTTTTGAAATATGAATTTTCAATTGTTTTTTTTTCACTTTTCGGAGGTGTTTTGACGTTTTTGAGTATAGCTTAAAATTTAATTGATCGATTTGGTCAAACAAGCCCTTAAATTGAAGGCATGTAAGCCCTCTAAAACTTTCTTTTAGATACTTTTTATATCGGATAAGTATTTTGACAGTAGCGATTTTAATAACTTAAAAAATTCGTTTTTATGAGTTTTAATTGAGGTCGAAAATTTACATATCGTCCTGGGAAAGGTTTAAATCAAACAGATAACTTTAGTTTGAATTTTTTTGAATTTTTCGTGAAGCTCACATTTTTACAAAAAAAAAACAAGTTGATAAAAATACAAAAAGATGGCCTATTTTTTAGTGGAAAATTCAGCTTTTTGACCATTTTTATTTTATTTTTTCGTTTAAATGTTTAATCTTTAATGGAAACCTAAGTAAAGTGCATGATTGGAATTTTTTGATTTTTTAACATGACTCCGCAAACGTGAATTCTTTTGTTTCTCGTGTTGGCATAGTGACATTTTACTGCTATTTTTTAATATTTCTAAAAGGTATTTTTATCATGGTTTTTTATAGTTAATAAAAAGTGTAAAATGAGTAAAAGAAGTGGAGAGTTCGAGTGCGTAAATATCCCGGACAATCTGGGCGACGTAAGTGATGAGCACGGAGAACGTTTTCACCAGCAAATGAAGGCTATGGAGCGGCGGTATCACGGCTTCTGGGATGCAGCCATAATAGGTGATTACATTTGGTCCTTCATACGAAAAACGGTATATGAAAGCAACAAAAAACAAAGAAGGAGCCAGAATTTGTTTAAACCAATATTCAATATATATTTTTACTTCAATATTTAATGTTTAAAATAAAAATGAATGTTCAATATTAAATTTTATATAATTTAGTAAAATGAGGAAAAAAAGTAAAAATTCTCGAAAAAATGGATTTTGGTCTTCTACTAAAAAATTCATAACTTCGCCATTTATAAATGGCTACATAATGCATTTTATTTAAAACAGTTTTTTTAAACTCATAAATTAAAAATCTTAAATTTTGTTTCTATTTTTAAATTCAGCATAAAAAGTTTATTAAGTATACAACATTTCAATAAAACATCTTCGTGGTTGCCCCTTTAAGAGACTGGAGGGGGCCATTTGCCGACCTATGTTTACAAGAAGATTTTTTTATATTGCACAATATTTTTGGGACACCCCATATAACATATTTTTGTAGTAAGGTTTATGCATGCCCTGTGCACTCGCCTTAAACAAACAAAATCCACATTTTTGTCTAGTCGACTTTGGTTTTAGTTTACACTCGAGTTGCATGTGGCAGGAGCGGCGGTTAATCTTGACGGTTGCTTGGTAACGAAATCAACAAACTTCAGTTTGATAAATTTTGTAAAGTTTTGTAAATTCATATTGTTTATTTGGTTTGTTCTGTACGCTTAAAAACTTTTATAATTGCGATTTATCGTTATCTGTGTACTCTATTTTTTATATATTGCTACATTATTTGAACATTAACATGGTGTTGTGCTGTGCTGTGGGCTGCTCTGTCAAGTTATGATGCATATTTTTCGGGTGACGTTCACAATATCGAAATTCATTATATCGAATTCAAAATATCGAACACTTTTTATCGAAAATCAAAATATCGAAAATACAAAATGTCGAAAATCAAAATATCGAAAATTAAAATGTCGAAAATGATAATATCGAAAATTAAAATGTCGATTTGAAAATGTCGAATAATTAAAATTTCGAAAATTAAAATGTCGAAAATGATAATATCGAAAATTAAAATGTCGATTTGAAAATGTCGAATAATTAAAATTTCGAAAATTAAAATATCGATTTAAAAATATCGAAAATTAAAATGTATGATTAAAATCGAAGTGTATATGTACAGAGGCGCCTCTGTAGATAAAGTTACGGTTATGCACCGAATTATCTTGGCTCCCTGGCTCCTAGAGATGCGCGTTTTATAGAAATGTACTCAAACTCAACAACACAACCCAACCGACCCCGCCCCATTGGCCCCCCCGCCCCATTGAGCAAAAAACCCAACTAAAATGGGCAAATTCATGTTACGATAAAAATAAAACACTTTTTAATTACATAAATTAGCCCATTTTAGTTGGGTTTTTTGCTCAATGGGGCGGGGGGGGGGCCAATGGGGCGGGGTCGGTTGGGTTGTGTTGTTGAGTTTGAGTACATTTCTATATCAGAGGCGCCTCTGTACATATACACTAAAATAATATGTCGATTAATTGAAATATTTAAACAAAATATCAAATTCAAAATAAGAAAATATTTCGACATTTTGTATTTTCGACATTTTAATTTTCGACATTTTGTATTTTCGATATTTTGATTTTCGATAAAAAGTGTTCGATATTTTGAATTCGATAAAGTGAATTTCGATATTATGAACGTCGATATTTTATTTTCGATAAATTGAAAATTCGATTAAATAAAATTTCGATATTATCATTTTCGACATTTTAATTTTCGATATTTTGATTTTCGACATTTTGTATTTTCGATATTTTGATTTTCGATAAAAAGTGTTCGATATTTTGAATTCGATAAAGTGAATTTCGATATTATGAACGTCACCCATATTTTTCACAATGATGACAAGGTTGTATTGTATTATTCAATTATAACTATTTTATTAAAACAAGGTACTTACACAAATGTGGTACATAATATTATTACTTTATACTGATTTGTGTTCTTTAATAAGATAAAATTCACTTGAATACATTATTATATTGTTAATTGGTTTAGTTTAGTAAATACCTTGAATAATTTAAAATATAATACATTTATTTTTGCTTTTCAAATAAACAATTTAAATAAACTATCAGGCCTTTTATTTTTTACTATTTTGACTGTCAAAATTTGACAGGATAACCTAAATTAAAACCATAACCTAAAACCAATAAATGTCAGGCGGGTACACTAGCGGCATAGCGGGCCGAGTGTGCGTAACAAGGAGCGTCAAATATGTGACAGTGGCGTATCTATATGATTTATTATCTATGGGTTTATGTTTTTAACGGACGTCAAAATTTAAAATAAATCAAAATGTAGTTTTCATTGTCATTTTTTTCTGGGTATCACCAAATTATTTGTTTATGATCTGAAAAAAATTTTAAAAAATAAATATTTTTTTTCCGATATCGTTTTTTAAAAATGATAATACTTTTAAGTTAAAATTTTTAATTATTTTATTTATTTTTTCTACTCCCACCTTTAAATCGCCCTTTTCCATGACACTAAGTGACCTTGACAAGTTGTGGCTTTATGGCGCTTTAGTCACGGGCTGAAGTTAGCAACAGGTTTTTAGTCACGGGCTGAAGTTAGTTCTAAGTTAGTTGACAGTTGTCAATGTCATACAATCGTTAAAATAAAGTGCCTTTCTTGTAAAATAATACTAAATTTAAAAATTATTTTATTATCTACAAAAATACAAAAGTATTAAATAGTTTCTCAACGCCAATATTTGAAAAGTTTATATGATCATTGTACTGACCGTTTAATTTCGCCGGCAGTAAACTATAACTTAAATTCGGGCACGGACTCTACTGTAAAGTCCTCATAAAACATTTCCTTTACTTTCACTGTGAAAAACTGTCAATTTTCAAGATACATTTCGATTTATAACCTTCATAATTGTGTTTATAAAATGTAAAAATGTGACATTTGACAGTTTCCCCTGTTGTTTTATAGATGGCGCTCTATACAAATTTTTGATTTAAATCATTTTAAGGTAATAATAAGTATTTGTCTTAGAAAAAGTATAGTATGCACCTCGTTTATAAACTTTTCTATACACTCATTAACTTAAGCACTCGCTCGCAAGCTCACTCGTACCTAAATTAAATTCGTGTATAAAATGGCGTTTATCAAACTTGATACATAATATACTATTAAACTATTATATATTATATTATTTACGAAAAGACATAAAATACCTTTTTTGTAGAGCGTAAACTTTTCTACAAAAATATATATAAAAGTATCATCAATTTTTTTATAATTAGTTTTGAAACTGTAAAGAAATAATTTAAAATAAAAACAAGTTAAAAAAGAAAAAAAATTAGCCAACTCATTAAAAATTATTTTTTTAAACTTATTTCAAACCTGGAAACAACGAACTGGTGGTATATTAGTAGGTAAATATTATGATTTTGAGAATTTTTAAGACATTAAAATTAAATGATTTTGGAAAATATTTTCGTAATTTCGGATTTTGATTACTTCAAGAAATTTCATTATGTTTGGCCATTCTATAAATCTTAAAACGGGAAAAAAATCAAGCATGCATAAGGTACTTTGAATAAATTAAAAAGTCAAGTTATTTATTGATCACCCGAGTTTTTAATTATTATCAATCCTTAACTTTCGACACTTCGCCCCCTTCAATCAAGACACCTTTAAACAATGCTGCTGCGCACAAAGGCACGCAGTCAATTAGCAAACAATTAGAAACAAGCGTTTATACGTACTGGGATCCTCCTCTTTCACATTGAACTTCTTTTCATCGTTTTCCGGATCTTTGGCCACTTTGTTATCCTGTCGGGCTTTCTTTTGGATCTTCTTGATTTTCGCGCGCTGGTTTTGGAACCAAACCTGTCGGAAATAACCGGCGTTAATAACGCTACAACGGGCACGAATCAGACATTCAGCTTTGAAGTTTTTTGAAAGAAAAAAGGTGATCCTGTTTATATCAGCAGAATTATTCAAAAGTAAAGGAATTTTGCTTCAAAGAGTAAGAAAAATTCGACAATATTTTATATAAAAAATTACCTTTATTTTTTGATAAACTATCGTGTACATTTTTTAGTGTAGGGGTAAAAATATTAGAGTTGATTTGTAAGTGTAAAAGTTACAATACAAAATACTAGGTAGCATTTAGTGCTTCTTATAAGAAGTTATAACTTATATATAACTATAACTTTATTAAACACATTTAAAGAATATGAACATTATTCATTGGTACATTCACACTATTTATTATTAAAATAAATCAAAAGGGTAGAAAACTTAATGCGAGTGTTTATTACCCCTTAATGTGTTAATAGTGACAAAATGTACACTACAGTGCTTGCCAATTTCTTTGTCTGCAAACATGTTTTGATGTTACTAAGATCTCTTTTTTCTTTACACTACTAGTGCACATTGTATCACAATTAAAGTTTAATTACACCAATAGTGGCAAAATAGACTGAAAAAACTGGAAATAACCGAAATGCGTTTTAAAATGTTTGGTTGGTACCTATCTACCTACGCAGTGCATATCCGGAGATACCGCGTTGTGGCATATTTGTTCAGTTAGATTTTAATTACGGTGAATCCATAAGAGGACATTCTTATTTTTTGGTAAGTATTATACTTCCTTTTTTTTAAGCCTTAATACTCAATAAATACCAATATGTTAAAAGGATGTCCATACCCGACCTATATTATATATCAATTATTTACGGCATGAAGGTAACATTAATATATAAATATATTTATAAATATGTATACATACACACTTGATTTACTTTTTATTTTCAAGCGTAATGGTTGTTATATTAACGTATACCAACATTTTTATTAATATTATGGAAAATTTGTATACGTGTGGTAAATCCCCGACATACAGCTGCCTGACGCCTCTCTACCAATGGGATCACCCATTTTTTATAACAGAAAAATGGATTACTGATGAACTCTCAAGATAATTCATTGCTTACAAGTTGACAGCCAGTAAAGCATTCTATTGATCTAAAACTGTTACGTTTTAAGGAACCATTTTGCTTAAGCAAGCCATACGACTCAAATATAAAATTATATTTTAAAAGGCACCGATTTTGATAATTGTCATGGATTTTTGTTCCAAATAAATGTTTCTCTTTATTTACCTTTTCGTTTTATTCACTACCACCAATAGGTTTTACTCAAATAATAGTGTTAATTTACACTAGAAGTTTGCACTGAAAGAGTAAAAGTACCTTGCTAAAATTATAACTTTTCCAAAGTAGTGTTAATTTACACTGAACAAAAGTGGGATTTTACACAGGAAGTGTAAATTTTAGGTAAATTAACACTTTTTAATACAGTGTAAAATTACTTTATCCTCAGTGCTATAGTGTTAAATCATACTTGCTTACTTGGGGAAAATTACACTACAAATTAACTCTAATTGTGGTGTTATAAAACAACACTATTTAGTGTGGACCTGTGTGAACTCTAATTAGTGTTGCTTAGAGTTGATTTTTTTTACTGTGTAATTAGTTATTTTTGACAAATTTTCTAACAAAATCTGGTAACTTCTGATACATGGAAGGGGATGCAAAACATCCAAACATTCAAATATATTTCTGAAGAGAATTACAGAAACATTCGTCGAAAACTTACTTGAACTATTCGTACGCTGAGTCCGGTATCTTTGGCCAAAGTTTCTCGGACTTTGCGGCAAGGTTTCGGACTGACTTCAAAGGAGGCCTTGAAGGCTCTTCTTTGTGACGTCGTCAATATCGTGCGAGGCCTTTTCGGGCCCCTTCTGCCGTCGTGGGATCTCGGCGATTGCAGTAGATCCTCGCAAATGAATTCACCTTGGAAAAATATATATATACAGGGTGTTATGTAATTAATGTAATATATTAAAATGGGTAGTTCCTAGGGTCCATAAGTCTAAATTCTAAAGACTAAAAATAATTTATAATAACCTTTATCCTACCAAAAAGTACGCCACTGATGGACTGGAAACTTTAGGCTAATCTGGTTGCCTAATTTAATTTATTATGTTATGGTTGGCAACAACCGGCGTTGCCAGATGATGTCAAAAAAGTTGCCAGATTTTGTTTAAATTTAGCTTAATTACAAAAATGACAAAATCAACAATACAAATTGTTAATTTGGCGTTTTTATTAATTGTTGATTATGTCGTTTTTGTAATGAAGGTAAATTCAAACGAAATCTGGCAACTTTTATTTAGAATCTAGCATATTTCTTTCAAATTTTAGGTTATGTACTCAAATTGTAAATATCTTAACTAAGGGAAGTGCTTTTGGATTTATTTACACAAATTGTATGTTAAACCAAAATTTGCTATTTGGATTTCAATAAGTGTTTGGAAATATACAAATCATTATTTATTTTATACAAATTCTGTTTGCATTTTATCTATATCATTTTAATCATGTACACTGCTAATTTTTTTTGTAAAATTACAATTGTTTTGCAAAACAAAGGATGAGTAAAATTCAGTGGCGGCTCGTGGGTGTACAGGAGGGTGAGGCTACATAAGGTTAATTTTGTCTAAATACGAATAAATTTCCACGTCACCCGGGAGGTATTATTATGCGACGCGTTGACCTTTTTTAAAATGGAGCCGATAGCACTACTAAACCAAAAAATAAACTCTAAAAAACAACACAAACAAAATATTACATCAAAGACTAGTTTTAATCTTAAACTTAAAATATAGTCTTAAAAAAGTTAAAAATAAATAAATTAATCAAAAAATAAAAATAAAACTAAAAAGTCGACCCCTACCTAAGTAATAAAAAATATAAAAAACTATAGGTCTATCTTTTAAGATTGAAAATTTATCTATTATTTGGTCGTAAAATTGTGGGTCTGCAGTGAGATTTAAAAGTAATTCTAAATTTTCAAACCGCGTCTCTAATTGAAGAATTATGCAATCTATTATTTCAAAATATAAAATTTGCTTAATAAAAACTGCTAAATCTACCTTAGTGTGTTCCCTACAATAATTAAATAAGAAATTTTACTAATCGAGACAAAAACTATAAAAGATCAGCCAAAAGTTTTAAACGTGCTCTTCAAACGCTAAGAGAAGCCTGGCAACCTTCTTAAAGGGGACAAAGAAGGCTTCTTTGTCTCCGCTGGCATCCCACCATAAACGGACCACCAATCAGAACAAACCAAGCCAACTAAATTTCGCCTCATCTACGGTGTTTATTCGCGAACTTACGGCGATATTTTTGTTGGTGAGTCATTTTCGCTTTCAAGAGGTAAATGGGAGCTTCCGAGGCTGTGAAAATTTCGCCTCTGTCCAAGCGACTCAACGATGCACGTTAACTTGACGCGCTTTGCGCCTGGATTTTTATTTACGCTTAATATGATTGATTGGTTTTTTACTTTTTATTGGGTAGAACTGTTGTAAAAATACACTTGTAATAGGCAAAAATATAAATACAAAAAGTCGTTCGTTCCTTTATTTTAAGGGTGAGGCGCGGCCTCAGAGGCCTACCCTGACGAGCCTAAAATTACAAATCAGTGTATACCAATACAACATTATATTACAATTTGAGTAATCTTCCAAGACATGTTGAGAAATCTACTAAGATAAGTTATAATTTTACAATCTATATGTATAAATCCTATACGCATTGTAATTTTACTTAACAGTTTGACAGTTTCTAATAAAAAGCATCTCAGATTTACAAATGTTGTTTGTAATTTGACTTGCAGTATGTTATGTAAAATGCATGTATATGTACCGATTCCGGCAATCACGTTATGTTCTTACATCTCGCCTCGGTTGACCTAGGTGGACAGTATATAAGCTCAGGTGTCTTTCGTTTTTTTGTATTCCAATACACCAAATTGGCAGAAATTGATCAGACCCAAAATAGGTCTATCTGTCTAGCTGTCTGTCGGTATTTGAATTAAAAACTCTGGCGAAGGGAAGGTTCAATTTTTTTAATCTTTACAGTAATGGGTCAAGAAATTTCTTAAAGAAACTAATAAAATTGCAGGTTTTTTTTTCGTAGTTTAATTACAATAGCATCATTCGTAAATTACTAAATATTTTTAGTGTAATGTGTACAAAATTACAATTTTTGTATTGTAATATTGCGAAACGATTTTTCTTCAGTTCAGTAAAATTTTAAAATATATTTTGTAATTTTCTTAAACTGAGTTGAAATGAATTGTACAGTATAATTACAATACACTATTTTAAAATTACTTAACCCTTTCGTACGCTATGTCCACTGGAGTGGACATTTTTTTTAACACCATTTATATTTTTAAATATTAAATATTTTGTCTCAAAAACATGTTGTCCATTATAGTGGACTAGACATAAAACACAGTAGATGACCGAATAATTACTTGACCTCTCTAAAGTAACTTTGTCCATTCCAGTGGACATGTCATATTTTGAAAAAAAATAATGAAATTTTTTTTTTTTTCAAAAATATCTCAAAATAATACCAATGAATGCAACTATAACGAAAAAAATTTTTTTTTTTCAGTAATTTAAATTTGGCTCCGAAAGGGTTAACATATTTAGTATTTTTTTTAGCAAAATTACAATTCGTGTATAGTAATGTTACTGAACAAATTTTTAAAAAATGCTTATATCCACTATAGTGGATTTCAACAAACGTTTTGTAATTTTCCCAAATTGAGTTTACAAAACTGAGTTTTATTATTACTATATTGTGGTACGTAAAAACTTTCTAAACATGATGGAGGAAAAACTTTCTTGTTTTGGCGTGTACTATCATCCCCCAAAGGATGACAATTTATTAGGTATTAATATTTTCACAAATTTTCACCGTTTAAATGTCGTAAAGCCATCCCAATATCTACAAAATTAATCTTACATACCGTACCCGAATCCTTGCATCATCTCGACTTCCTTCTCGTAGTCTGCTCGGCAGAACAGTTGGCCTTGCTTGATGACGTACAAGTCGCCCTTTTGCAGCCTGATGCCGCACACCACGCAAACGAAGCATCGCAGGTGAAATATGTTGTCGCTGGCGCGCATAACCAGCTCTTCCGGAGTCACCCGTTCCGAGCAACCCAGACACTTCTTGACGAACAATCTGGAAACGAGCAATTGCTTGAGATTGGAGGGGTTTGCATTTGGGGTGCCGCAAGGTAGAGATTTAGGACGATCTTCTTTTGTTGAAGATGCACCCTGGATACCTACTCTCTTAAAATGAATTAGTCAAAAATATCTATTTGACTAATTGTCAAATTCCATTGAATGAAATAGTCAAATTAGTAGATATAAATTTAAAAAAAGTTTTGACCCAGCCGGGTATTGAACTCAGGTCTGTCACTTGTCAAGCTTGTCAAGCTGTTGTCATAACCCATTCGGCTATCAGCCGCTCTTATAAAAATCAATTTTATTCGTCAATAAATATTTTTCATAATATTTTAAAGTTGAATGTATTATAAGTGTTGCTGTTTTGAGCTAAAGTTTTTGCATCTTTATTTGTTTTTATGGGTCATTTAACCATGGAGCTTAGGTATGTGCATTTACTTCAAATAATACTTTGTTGTTGGCCGCAAACGATTAAAGAAATTAGTTACTTTTAACTCTCAGAAATAGTCAAAGAGTGTGACTAATCTTAAATTAGTCAAACTTTAACTATTTACGTAGTAAAAAAACTATTTAAAAGTGAAAACGACTATTTTATTAGTAAAAAATGCTGGTACTTATTTAAATAGTAAAATGTTGACTATTTTATTTTTAGAAAGTACCTACATTATCAGATTTAGGTATTTATTTGTGTTACACAAAACCTTCTTGACAAACTACTAAAATAAATGAAGATAAACGCAAACATTAAATTTAATTTTGATACTCCTCGTGGCTATAGCCATATAAAAAATTTTCCACCTAAGGTACGTTTTTAATAAATTTTCATTGTCTTATTGGGACAAAAACCTACGATTTGTCAAAGTAATGAGACTATTTTTATTTACAGAATAAACTTTTTTTACTGTTAATAAAATTCTCATTTACTATAATGAGGCAGCAATGTTCAGTTTATATAAAAAAAAATGTCCATCCAACATTATCATATTGTCATGGCAATAAGAAATACTTTATGTTTATATTAAATCTTTGTCGAACTTCAAATGTTTTTGTTAAATCTATAGTTGTGTGTGAATTGCGCTTAGATAAAGTAATGCGCAGTTGTTATAGTAAAATTTGTTCATTTTACTATGGCATATTTGTCTTTTTTAAATAACTATCGTTGTAACTCAAATTAATTTTATTTCAGTTAAAAAATCTTTGTTAATAGCTTACGTTAAGAACAATAACGAAAATATTTTTTTGCTATAAAATGACATTTTAATATTTACCATTGTTTTGCAATGAAAACAAAATTTTTGTTATTTACCTTAAAAAGAGGGGAAAAGGGCCAGCGCTCTCATTGGTGAACATAACTTTATAATCCACAGTCTGTGTCTGCGCTCTCATTGGTGAACATAACTTTATAATCCACAGTCTGTGTTATAATCTTATTGATTTCATTTGTGCGAGTGAAGTGTGGTAAAATCTAGCATAATAAAAATATCAAAAAGACCACTAAAAAAATTAAAATTTCGACGTTTTCCAAAAGAAATATTTGTTTAAAAAGTGAGTTCATATTTTTTTTATTTTGTACATCATATAATACGAGTTAATTTTTTTGTTATAATAAATAATTTGTTTTAATGCCTTGCAATTATTTAAAAAACACTACCCAACACCCAACAGTACGTTGAAAATGTGACCATTGTTACAATGAAAATAGTTTATTGAATTAACAATTAATTTGTTGTTAAATTTACATACATTTTAATATTATAAAAATAGTTTTATTTTAAACGAAAAGGGATTTGTAAAATTTACAAATTTTCTATTAATAATACCATTTAGGTTACATTAATACTACAAAACGTTTTTGTAAACGGTATAGAACTGTTTTTTTGGACAAATAATAATAACTATATTTTGTCACCTGAGTATTGATTTGTTCTATGTCCAATATGTTATAATCGAGATAAACGGGTTTAAAACTTTTACATTAAATATCTTATTTGTTTTTTAATAAAAACTTAAATAAACATTAATAACAATATTCTTGTTTAGCCTTTAATTAGTTCTATTGAGCAACTCTTATCTCAAATTTGGATTTATGCCTCAATATTGGAAAAAACGTTTTGGAGATAAAACAAAAAGTGCTATTTTTGAAATTTAGAAACAAAATGTTGGACATACAAAGTTTTAGGACATGAAACAAAATTGAATTAAAATCACTTTATTTAATAATGATTTACTTTAATAATAATAGTTATAATTATTGCCAAAATACAATGTCATATACATACATGTAAATAGGTGAAAAAAACGTGTACTGGCTAAAGTGAATATAGAACAAAACAATTTTATACTTATAAGGAAGCATTCTTTGGACAAAACAGTTATAAAATGGATATAGCACAAATACTAATTATTTTCATATTTTTACAAACACATAGAGCAAAATAAAGCCTGTAAGCGAAATTTTGGAGATAGAGTAAACCAATTTTAAACCTTTTATACTAAACTCGGATTTAGACTAACCTAAACTAAAAACTGACACAATTATATCAAAATACTATTATGGAGATGGAACAAACCAACTTTCCGAAAATGTATAAACCTCAAAATGGTAAAAAATGGAGATAGCACAAACCAATACTCAGGTGACGATTTATCAATGCGTTTCTGTATCTGGAAGAGTTATTTTTATAAACATAACGTAAATTTACTTTATAGGTAATTAATGCAAATGCTACTACAGAAAGCAGCGTTTGTAGATAAATAATTTTTATAAAAATTATCTTTTTTTAAAGAATAGAAATTTTTGACTAAACAATAAATTTTTTTCGTTAAGACATGCTTATAAGATGTTTTTACTACCATAGAGAACAATTTTCAAAAACAGTGACCCAACAAATATATTATAATATCTCATTATTTCCTCCATTTGACACTATTCTATTAATCTCTAAACCCAAAAACTAGTATTTGATTGAACAATCGTCGGAAACTTGGGCGGGTTTCATGCGATTTTGATCAATGAGATGCATATTTAATTCGTGCGGGAGAATCGAAAGCACCTGTTAAAAAGTTGGGGTTGGTTTTTCGACTCGGAGAATGAGCGCGACCTACACATGACGCCCTACACGCATTACGGATAATATGACACGTCTCCGCCCTTGCGCGCTTTTTAAATATGATGTATATATTTTGGGGGATGAATCTTGTCATGATCTGGATAAACGATTCTCCGTGGGGCAGTGGCGTATCGAGAATTGCGTACCTACTTAATATAGTTTATTATTTATTTATTCTTTTATTTTAACTTTGTATTGTATACAATATACGTTGTTACCCAAAAATATGGTGCAATACTCAAGGGCCAACTTTATATGAACATAAGTCGGCAAATATCCGACGTACAACCTGTTCACTTGAAGGAGGCCCCTACACAGTAAAAAGTTTATATGTATATTTAACACATTTCTTGTGTCCCAGAAAGACCACTCAATTTTTTAGTTTTTTTGATTTTAATTACTTATGTTAATTTTTAACACAACAGAATGTGTAAAAGAAAATTAATATATGTTATTTTTTTACCTAACTGTAAAGTTAATTTAACAAATCGTGTTGTGTGAATTTTTTTTAATGGTTATTTTAACCCAAAATAAAAATTAAAATGATTAAAAATCTGCATAACTTTAACAAAATTAAATATGTTAAATTTATTTATATTTTATTTATTTTACACAAAAAGGTGTTACTTTAACATATAACTTTCTATCAATTTTACACAAATAGTAGGTATGTCTTCATTTAATTATTTTAATTTGTTATTTTAAAAATATTTTTTAATTAATTTTTACATTACTTATTAATTGTTTATTTGTATTTATTTCAATAAAATATTTCAATTAATATAAGAATATTGGTTTTTGGGCAAAAAATAAAACATGTATGTAATAATAATGATTTATTATACTAAGTACAACATATTTAAAAAAAAAAGGCCAAAATAAATTACAAATCCAAACGGTCTTCAAACATTTCTCGGGATACAAACTTTATGTTAGTAAAAAAACATCATCATAGCAAACTTACCTTTAAATTTTGCTATACCTATAAAAACACACTTAACCTTACAATTAGGAACCTCTAATCGAATTAACTATCATCAACCGACTAAACGGGGTTAGAAGACAAAGGGCCTTGCAGGGTACCGATTTTAATCGAAAGAAGGCGAAATAAGCGAATTAGAAGAATTACATTTTTATTTAAGTTGAATTGAATAAAAAAATACTCAATTGTTTTAATTTGATTATTTCCCTCAATATAATATGAACCAATCAAAAGCCTTGAATTTTCGAATAAATTTCGTTTAAATAAGCGATTAAATCACTAGTCCTTTTTAACAGCGATGAAATTTTAGCCTCCATATTGGATTTTTGTTTACGATTTTATGGTGTTATTTACAAGTTTTAACAAACAATAAAAAATAAGTTATCTAGTTTACGAAATATCAATTATTACTTATTACATACCTTAAATTAATGGAATTTTCTTTAAAAAAATATTTAAAAACTTTGACACATACGTCAGATTTTATGAATGGTCAAATAGTTTCCTTTAATTCGAGAAATAATCTAGACGTATATCACTCAACCTATAAATTTAATCTGTCAAACTATTCTCAGTAAGTTTTTTATTTGATTTTTCTTTTTGGAAAATAGTTTCATGCAAAATAATTAAAAATAAAACCCCTCGACCGCTACGCGGTCTCGTGATTTTATTAAATTATTTTGCATTCAACATTTTCCAACAAAAACCAAACAAAAAACTACTGAGCCTAGTTTACCCGATTAAATTCATAGTTCTCGTGATAATAAAATTTCTGTACTAAAATATTTAACAAATATTTTTGAGTTAGATTAACACTTGTTTAGGAGTTATTTAAACTAATGTATTATATTGAAATTAACATAATTTTTTCGTAACATTAACTATATTATTATACTACAGTGATCAAAAAAATTATTATTTTACATTCTTATTTGTGTAGGACCTGTTAACACCACCAAACATTAATGTTTGTTAAATCTTTTGAAATTTTAAGATTTATTTATGTTATAAACATTAGGAAGTTTATGTAAATTTTTACATTTTTTATTTAACACAAATTTTTTACTGCGTAAAAATGTTTTAATATTATTATTATTATTTCTGAAATGGTTTGAGATAAAATTTTTGGAAAACATACAGGTTGTTACTTAAAACTGACAAATTACAATATTTACGAAAAAATAATTTTTAAAAAAAGTTCTGGAAAACGAAACATTTTTGGATCCATGTTTATATGAACTTTTTGTCTTAAAATCATTCACATACCTATGTATTTTTTATTAATATTTTTTATTCAATTTGTTATTTTATTTTTATTTGAAAATGGTTTAACAAGAGTACCTTTTTATAAAGAAAACACTTAATTTTTATTTTTTGCAGCCAAAAATTTGAGACTAAAAATACAAATTTAAAATTTTCTTTTTATTTTTAAACCTAAGTTTAATTATCATTAAAAATTAAAAATAAAAATTAAATATTAAAAAAAAAAATTAAATATTTCAAAACCAAAAAAGTTATAACCTTGTCATTCCTAGGAATTAAAAAAAAAGTATACTTACCTTATAAGGTTTGAAATTTCTTTGCTACTGCAGTGTTTTGATCAAACTCGAGTTACCATTAACTTTTTTGTTTTTGAATGGCCGCCATAACTTATGTAGTTTGATACATCGTTGTATTTCTTAATTTTTTTCTATCCAACCCTGTAAAATTCCAATATGGCGGCCATAGGAAAAACAAAAGATGGTGGTGGTAACTCAAAATATAGTAGGCGAAAAAAATCATAAATTTGATTAAAATGTAGATAAACTTACTTTTTTTTAAATTCTCAGAAATAATAAAAGTTATAACAATTTTTGGTTTTGACAGGTTTTCACTTTTTCCAAATTATTTAAGAACCGCTGATTTTTTTTCAATTTTTAAAGGCTATAATAATAAACTTGTAGTTACGCAACTATACTAGAAATATACATACATATATACATACATATATATTCTATATGATACTTGGTGGACCCTGTAACTATATAAATTTTTTGTCTATTTTATAAAATTAATAAAATCCGTTTTAAATTATAAATTGCTTTCATAAATTATTTTTAAAAATTGAAATTTTCAAAAATTATACACAAACAATAAACAGTGATCGCGTAAAAATCCCCCCCCTTTATTTTTTGAACCACTTTATTTGGAAATTGTAAAACAAAAAATACTATACACTGTATAGTTTTTGTGTACGCCCCTGTTCTACGTCGCATGACTCGAGCAAGCTGTTGTCGTATAAGCGTCGCGACGCG